CAGAATAGATCAAGAAACAAAGCCCAATGGTATGCTGTACACAAAAAACACATTCAACCCGAAAAAGAAATTCATAGACTAAAAATCAAAGGATGGAAAAAATATTCCATGCAATGGAAACCTGAAAACAAGCAGGAGACACTATCTTATTTTCAAAGTGGACTTCAAGCCAAAACTGATTAGAGGAGACAAAGTCACTACATACTGGTTAAGGGAAAAATTCAATGGGATGTGATAATAATTGTTAATATGTATGCACCAAACAATAGTGCACCCAATGTCGTAAAACAAATGCTACTGGAAATAAAAGATCAGATCAATATAAACACAATTATAGGAGGGGAACTCAATATACCACTGTTACAAATAAATCAACTAGACAAAAAAAATCAGCAAAGAAGCATCAGAGTTGAACAAAACCTTTGAATAAATGGACTTCAAATATATCTACAGGGTGTTCCACCTAACAACAGAATATACACTCTTCTCAACAGCACATGGAAATTTCTCCAAAACACACCACGCACTAGTGAATAAAACATACTTAAGTAAATCCAAAAGAATCTAAATTATACCATACATATTAACAAATCACAGCACAATGATCAAAAACTGGACAAGTGAAATGAATAGACACTTTTCAGAACTCCAAATGGCAAATAAATATGTGAAAAAATTAATTATCTCTGGTCGTTAGAGAAGTACATATTAAAGCCACACTAAGATTATTTCCTACCCCAGAAAGAATGACTATCATGAAGAACAAATGCTGGTAAGGCTACAAGGAAAAGGAACCCTTCATGATTATTGATGGGAATGTAAACTAATACAACCACTGTGGAAATCACTGCCAAAGTCCCGCAAAAAAATAAAACTGGAAATTCCATTTTACCCATATATTCTCCTTCTGGGTATCTTCCCCAAAGAGTTAAAGTCATGTTTCAGGGATATTTGCATTCCCATGATTATAGCAACACAATTCATAATAATCTTGGAAGTGGCCTATATGTCCATCAACAGATGAATGGAAAAAGAAAATGTGATATTTATAGTCAATAGAGTACTACTTTGCCATGAAAAAGGATAAACAAGTCATTTGTAGAGAAATGAATGTACCTTGAGACCATAATGTTAAGTGAAATAAATCACTTATAAGTTTAAATATCACATTATTTCTCTTAAATAAGAAACCCAAATATAAATAAAGAACAAAATAAAGGATAGATTATAAGAAGTAGTGAGAGATCTTTCTCCTTTGGTAAGGGGATTAAGAAATGACATAAGAGGGAGGGGGAAGGAGAAGGGGTTGAAAAAAGAATTAAGATGTGTCATGGGCCAGGGATCTAGCTCAGTGGTTCCACTGCCTGCCTCACAAGTGCAAGGACCCGAGTTCTATCCCCGGTACCAAAGTCATTATATATTAACTGAAATGTGTATATTGAACACATGAATATATATTGAAACATGTACTAATAAAAACTAAAATAAAATAATAAGAAATGGAGGGGGAAAATCATTCTGGCGTACCTACATAAGTGAGCCATCATTTTAAGCTAATAAAAATAGTCATTGCTAACATTTATGAAATCTTACTATATGCTCCAGGTCTTAGATGTGCAATGACTAATTAATCCTCATGAAACCAGTACTATATGTTTATATTCTTATTAACATAAAAGGAAACTGAACGACAGAGAGGCACATTTGAGGAACGTGCCCAAATTCCCACAGCTGCTAAGTAGAAAAGCAGGGTTTGAAATCAGGCAATCTGGCTCCACTTAACCATTACAGCAAATTGCCCATCTCATTACCTTAGATATAAGGTAGTTACTGGGGAGTAACTTGACCTGCAATGAATGGAAACCTAATCCAATTATTGTTAAAACCAACTGCAGCATTTTCTGTGCATTTTTACCACAACATCTGCTGCTAACAAACTGCTGAAACTTGGTCCACAGGAAGGTAGAGCTGGTGTGAGAGCTTCTTTCCCTGCCAGTACAGCAGCGGTCACCAGGAGCTTTCCTTTGGAGTGGGCTAGCCCGTGCCCTTTCCAGAATCACACTCCACTCAAACTTCCCTCTTGTTTCCACACTCTGGCTCCAGTGGGAAGACACAGAGGCAAACCCAGATTCAACATTTGATTGGGACTTGCCAGTCAAAATGATCCAGAACATATTTTAATTACCAATCATTTCCTATTGCCCTTGGATTAAAGCCACTAATTTTAGAGAATGCACAGGCCCCTCATGATACACACACACTTGGAACACCGAGGGTGTGAAAGGCCTGTGATGTGACACTATGAGCTCATGCTGAGGGACCCCACAAAAAACAAGCACCCCATGTCTTACAAGGAAATGACTGAAGACATTGTCCCAAACACTATAGTGTATTTGGAAAAAGTTCCTCTCTGATCTTAGAATCAAGAATTGATGTGTTTTCCTTAAGAAGTTTTTATTTTGTGTTTTTGTATTTTGAACATATGCACAGCTCTTATCAAAATTTGTAATTATAGATTTGTTTGACAGATTTCTTGAATGTCCATTTCTTACATTTATCTTCATTTATCTTTAAGCACTGTGAGGACAGAAAACATGTCTAACTGTGTCATACCTTTGTTCTCAGTGCTTCTTACAGAACCCAGCATGTAATAATTCTCACTGAATGTTTGTTGAATGAACAAGTGAGTGATTGAGTTAATGAATAAATAAAACATATGAGCCATGGGCTGGTCAATTGTCTTTCTGCATATCTGCTAGAAGGTTTAGAACTGGATTTGTTTTCTGACCTAACCAGGGCCTCTACCCTGAGGTTCCTTTTTTCTTTCCCTTCTACTTCTAAATTAGGCTGCCTTGTTATATTTTATGAATCCTGGCAAATGTCTTTAAATCCCTTGTGGAACAAGGTAGGAGATAGATAAATATATTTTCCAGTCTTTTTTATATATATTTAAAATCTTAACACTAAACCCTCTGCCAACAAACACATTTGATCATCTGTAAACCTTAATAGTAAAGTGTGCTAACTCCAGCACTATACTAATATTTAAAGCAAATTCCAAGCCAACCCCAAGAACCACAGGTGGTATTGTCATTTGAAACACCACTGTATATTGGGTGTATTCATGTGAGACAGACACATTTCTAGTAGGGGGAGATGGAATCTGGTGGACAAAAAGAACACAGAATGTGCTAGAACACATCTGTCATCTCAGCCATTTGGGAGGCCGAAGGAAGAGGATAACAAGTTCAAGGCCAGCCTACGAAACTTAGCACAATATTCTATCTCAAAATAAAATTTAAAAGGAGATGAGGGTATAGCTTGATGGTAGAACACTTATCTAGCATGCATGAGGCCCTGGGTTCAAGTCCCAATACCTTCAAATAAGAAAGAACATACCGAATTCTACAAACTTTGTCGTGGATATGGGATCAAAGGCTAACCGATTTTGGTGGGTTTTCACAATGCATTGATCTCACAGACACAGTGAAAGGTTTGCTCTTACTTGTACCTTGCAGTGGGTGGTGAAGGAGCTAGACAAGATCCTGATTTGTAGGCTTTGAGAAAAGTCACATCACTTTACAGGATGACTTTTTTTCCCTATAAAGTGATGGGATTGCCTACAAATATAGAACATTAGAAAAGAAAATTATCAAATAGTTTAACCCCTTTTAAAAATCTGACATGTGTTATTCATATGCTAGTGGGAGGTGTTAACTTGCAAGTCTGAAATTTCATAGCTGTCTTCTCTAGTCATACTCATCTAAAGCACTTTTGCTTCAAATACTGACCACCTATTTTTTTCCTTAAAACAGAAACATAACTTTCAAATGCCACAAAAGCTAACACCCTTTACTGGTGCAAGTTAGTTATCTCAGAAATCCCAATTACCCCCACAAACTCTGCGTGAAAGAAACTGAGCTAGCCCTGTGCAATCCCCAAGCTTCTGCCAGGATGCCAACCAACCCTTTTCCGGGGCTTAGTCAGAAATATCCCCATTAGAAACTCAGATTTGATTTGCATTATTTATAAGGCTCATTTGAGTCAGTTGAATCTCAGATGACAAACTGCCAGAGGAGGGAAATGTGGGCGTAAAGAAACTGAAGGATAATAATTGTGTGTCGTGGACAAATGACAATTTTTAAAAAATAATTTGATAGGATGTGGGCTGGGGCTTGCTTCTTATAAATGTATTTATCTATATTTGGCAGGGAATGGAGATTGTGGATGAGAAAAAGAAGGAGGGGAGAGGCAAGACAATAGGCCAGACCAGAGCTCCTGATCAGCATCCTATAGCAGTCTGCCCCTCCCTCTCTTCCTCCCCCGACACCAGGTAGGCTGTGGTTGCGATTTCTAAACTAGCAGATCCCGACTCCCGCCTCCTGGACCCAGGGGGACTTCCTTTCAGGCAACACAGAAGTGAGAGGAGGGAAAATGGAAGCTAAAGATGAACACATTGGCAACGCCTCCTCGGGGAGAGTGCCCCCCCCAAGTGATGGGATTGCATACAAATCCAGACCCACAGAGCCCGCTCATTTGTCATTTGCTGACACGCCTCACCTGCTCAGCCAGCCCCTGTGGGGGAGCACCAGGCCCCGGGGGCCTCCCAGGAGGGCGGTGGTCGAAAACGGGAATGGGAGGGAGGAAGGAAACAAGAAGGGAGGGAGGGGAAGGGACGGGCAACCCCACCTGGCTAGGCCAACCCAGACCGAAGAAAGCCCCACCGGTCCTGCGTTACGAGCCTCCGGAGAGCCCCCATCCGCATACGGGGACCGCGCTTGCAGCCCTGGTTTCCAAATGTTACATCATCCCAGAAACCTTCAGGCGTGTAACACACAGGGCTGCATCGCGGATAAACAGCGCGCACAGACAGCCGCTCTCCTCCAGGACCAGCCGGCTCCCTCCCGCTCGGCGGCAGGACGCTTGGGGTCTGGAATGTCACTGAAAGCACCTCGATCCAGGAGAGCCCACCATGCCCTTCCCAAGAAGGCCTTGCTTACCTCCTGCCAGGCAGCCCGTCCATCTCCGGTGTGCCACTTCGGGTTGGGTTGGGTTTTTCTGTGGGGCTTGGGGATGCGCCTCATAAATCCACCCCGCTACTCTGCAGCGCGGCGTGTTCCACGCATTCTACCGCCCTCCCTCGGCAGAGCCGCCGGGGATCCC